TCTGCACATTCCTGAGCAGGACCCATAGACTCCTTCCTGCACTCTGCTCCTAGAACACTGGCAGCCTTGTTGTTGTTATTAAGTACCATGGAGTCGGTTCCGACTCATAGTGACCCGGCACAGGTTTTCTGAGACTATAAATCTTTATGGGAGCAGAACGTCTCATCTTTCTCCTGCGGAATCGCTGGTAGTTTCGAACTGCCAAACTTGAGTTTAACAGCCCGATTCGTAACCACTACGCTACCAGAGCTCCTTACTGGCAGCCTTACCAGAATCCATTTCCTTAAAAGAAAGAAAGGCCATGGTCACAGAGAAGAAACTTCCAGGTTACAAATTTTCTGAAAGCCTGAAGTTAGTTTAAGAAAACCTGGTTCTTCTTAAGCATCAAAGAGTACTCTCAATTTGCAACTCTGAGAAGATGCACAACATGGACACCGTGTTGTTGCAGAATGGATTCAGGCAATGATGGGAATGGGTCCTGTGGTCAGAAAGTGAATTTGGGGATTTCGGATCTAGGAGGAGAGCAAATGAGATGAGAAAAGGAGTCTGAAGTGATCACTGAAGCTGGAAAGATTGAACACTCTACCATTATAGTTCTGGCTGTAGGATCAGCACTGAACCACAAAGTTAGCAATTCAAACCCACCAGCTGCTTTTCGCAAACCCTATACCGGGGTCACTATGAGTCAGAAGAGTGTGATGGCTCTGTAGGATAAGCACTGGATTCCAAACCACAAGGTGGGCAGAGTGAGCCCACCAGCCAATCCACGGGAAAAGATGAGACATTTACAGCCTCAGAACCCTCATGCACGGTTGCTATGAGTTGAAACCACATCGACAACACTTAACAAGAAGGAGGGTCAACCTGATGTAAAACAATGGCTGAAATCTTCAAGAAAGTGTGTCCATGCATCTGTGCTGGAGCTGGGGAAGGAGTTAACCAAACACACCAGACCCAATGCCATCAAGTCGGAATCTGACTCAGAGCAAGCAGAAAGTTTCATTTTTCAGAAGGGTTAGGAAAGGAGGGTGGTGGGTTTGAACTGCCAGCCCTGTGGCTAGCAGTCCAATGCTTGCCCTACGGCGCCGTTGGGATGATAGGATATCAGAGTATGGTAAAATGACCTGGACTTGCAACGGAGAGGTTGCTTTGTAAGTGGCAGGACAATAGCTTTTTGGAAATGGAAAAATGGGCTTCAGTGAATTCTGGAGGAACGAACGGTTGGAAAGGCTGAATTGGTATTCAAGGAGCTAAGCTGGTCACGCTAAGGTGAGGTCTTGACAAAGAAACCAGTGAAAAAGGTGGTGGTCTGAGGAAAAGGAGCTCATCATCATAGTCTCCCCAAGGTTCCTCTGTAGAAAGCTGCTAGGAAAAGGGGTGGGAGCATGGACAAATCAGGGAAGAATGGCCTCAGTTGGACAGAGATGAGCACTTGGTGGTGGTGGTGGCCTGCTGATCAGGTTGTCGTCCTCGTATTAGTGAAGGAACTTGGAGTTGGTTCCGACTCATTGCGACCCTGCGCAGCGTTTCCAAGGCTGTAAATCTTTATGGGAGCAGAAAGTCTTATCTTTCTTCTGCAGAATAGCTGGTAGTTTTGAACTGCTGACGGTAAGGTTCCCAGCCTGATTCCTAACCACTTTTTTGTTATTCTTAAGTGCCATTGAGTCTATCCCAACCCACAGCGACCCTGTATAGGGTTTCCAAGGAGCAGCTGGTGAACATGAACCACCAACCTTGCAGTTCAAACGACTTTGCAGTCTGACACATTAGCCCACAGCGCCACACCCCTACACTATTGTTGTTGTTGTTATGTGCTGTGGAGTCAGTTCCGACTCATAGTGACTCTGTACAGGGTTTCCGGGAGCAGAACGCCTCATCTTTCTCCCGCGGAACAGCTGGTAGTTTTGAACTGCTAACCTTGAGGTTTGCACTACGCTACCAGAGCTACTATAGTTAGCTGTAGTTGGACATGGTGTGGCGCTGTGGGTTAATGCGGTTCAAGCTCACCAGCCGGCTCCTTGGAACCCTTATTTAGGGTCGCTATGAGTCAGAACCAACTAGACGGCATTTTCCATGAGCACTGTGTAAAGTGTGATGGGTGCTGGGAGGCTTGAGGGGTGGATCAGGGAGTCCTGCACATTGTAACACTCAACTCCCTAGAAGGCCTTAGGGACCAGAAGCCCTATTGTCCCGTCCCAGAAGAGAGCTGCCAGGCCCACAGGGTTTAAAAGGCCACCAGGCGCCTTTCCCCTTGCCAACCTCTGTGTGTGACCCGGGACCCGCTCCCAGGGTGGAAGTGAGAGAACCTGTCACATCAGCCTCAGTGGCTGCACCTGCGTGCGCCGCCTGGTCTCCCTATGACTGCAGGGGAAGTCCCGAGGCTGACGCCACCCGGTGGCGCGCACCACGGCGGTGCGTCACCCTGCGACGACCGCAGGCTTTTTTTTGGCGCCGGCGGGTTAAGTCAGTCACGCGGAACGAGCGTGCGTCTAGAGCTCGCGGCCCGCAGCGCACGTTCACACACACGCAAACCCGGCGCTGGAGTCCACTCGGACCCTCAGCGACCCCCGCAGGACAGAGTCGGAAAGCCCCATAGAGTTTCCACTAGGGTCTTTATAGAAGAGCCAATTAAGAGCGCAGTGCTTAAGCGCTCGAATGCAAACCCAAGGTCGGCGGTTCAAATCCCCCAGAGGCTCCTGGTGATGCGCTCTCTAAAACCACAGCCTCAGAATCCCTAGGGAGAAGTTCTAATCCTCTCTACGAGGTCATTATGAATTGGAATTGGCTCCACAGCAGTGGGTTTTGGGTTTAATCTTTTCAGAAGCAGACTCCCACATCTTTCTTCTCTGCAGAGGTTCGGAATTACACTTTCGGCTAGCATCCGAGCGCTTTAACCACGACGCCATCAGGGCTGCTTCGCCTAGCCAAACCTTCCCCCACACCCGCCCATTCCGAAGGCGCCCACACCAGGGGCAGAAGAAAGGAGGTGTGTCAACAGGTGGGAATTTCGGCGCCTCGTCGCCCCCTCGCGATCCTCCCTGGAGACCCACAACGCAAAGGCAGCGGAGGTTGGCTTCGGCCCCCGCCTCCCCTCTGCGAAGCGGGTGGAGCGCGGGGCGGGGCGTGGTGCGATGGGCGTGGCATGACGGGGCGCGGTGGGGCGTGGCTGGCCGCTACAGGGCGTGGGGCGGTACGTTGTGCGACGGGGCGGGGAATGGGCGTGGCGTTGAGAAAGAGCGTAGGACCTGAAGCGTACGTTGCGCGACGGGCGGGTGGGACGCGCACGCGCGTAGGGACCGCAGCAGAAGACCGGACGGGTAGAGGCGGGGTCTTTGGAGCCTAGGGTTGAGGTGTATGGCGGTCAGAACTGGTAGGGTTCTGATGTAGGAGCGGAGGCCGCAGGGCGGCGGAGCGAGACCCGGCCTTTCATGGGTAGAAGAGGCGAGGCGAGAGTCGGGGGGAGCCCCCACTGCACCCCCTCCAGCGGCAGGGTCGCTTTTGCTTAATCTAAGCCCAAAGTGCAAGTTGCTATGGACAACCACATCGGGTGACCAACGCCGCAGGCCTACTGAATTGACTGTCTACCCTACCCCTCTTTTACTTGGGGTCCTTGGTGTACATTAGGGTGAAGGCGCTCCCCACCTCTCTACCGTCAGGCCCAGACATCCTTGTCCTTTCGATATAAAAATTTGCATGGAGCCTTGTTTTGTAAAGGTAGGTACCATGGCAGGAGATTGTCTTGCTGGATAAGTCAGTTTCTTCCAGTTGTATGGTAGTAAGGATTCATATCAGAGCTATTATTATAGAGACCAACTTAAAAAACATACACACATAAATAAAAAACCCACTCCTACCCAGGCAATTCAGACTCAGGCCTAGAATTCCTGTTAGAATCTTAAAGCCTAGGATTCAGATGTGTCATCAGCAGAGCTTAATTTTGCACATCAATTGATTAAACCAGAAAATCTAGATTTTAGAGAATGCAGTAGGATCCATACTGAGATGTTCACTTGTTTCCCTTTCTAACTCAAACAGCTTCATGGTGCAACAGCTGTGGGACCCATTCAAAGTGAAGGATGAAAGTTCTGCCTAGGAACCTGGACTGTCACTGTGAGTCTGCCTTTTGTCGCCTGATACCTTCCCCAGTTGACATGATTTGAAAGCATTAAACCTCAGTGGCTGTGGTCTGTCTGGGCAGCCTGCCATTAAAATACAGAAATGTCAGAACTTAGTTCTCTTTTGTGTTACTGAGCATATTGGAGTCACATTGAAAAAGATACATATTTTCCAAGTGGCCCTAATGAGTCAGTTCAGAATGTTGTCATTATTACTCAAAATGAAAGGGAAATTGGATTATCACATCATGCTGTTGTTAGTAGTTACTAGTCTTTATAGTGGGAGCGGTTTCCCTGTGAAATGAAGAAATGAGTCTTGATTTTCTGTTCAGGTTCTCAGATGTCCTCCCCAGGAAATTGATTGGAAATTAGCATTGAGCAATTGCTTTTTTTGCTTTCTATTACAGGGCGGAATTAGAGAGATAGATGGAAGGGCAGGTTGTTGTTTTTATGTGCCATGGAGTCGATTCTGACTCAGCGACCCTGTATAGGGTTTCCGAGGCTGTCAGTCTTTATGGGAGCAGAAAGCCTTATCTTTCTCCCATGGAACAGCTGGTAGTTTTGAACTGCTGACCATGAGATTAGCAGCCCGATTCGTAACCACTATGCTACCAGAGCTCCTTGGAGGGCAGGTACATTAAAGCTACTACCCAACAGTGCAGTGGAAGAAAGGCCTGGCGGTCTGCTTCCGTAGAGACTGCAGCCAAGAGAACCCCTTGGAGCCGCTCTGCTCTGTAATGCATGGGGTTGCCGTGAGTTGCAATGGACTCAACATCAATGGGTTTGATTTCTTGGTTTGATAGAGGGCAGGTAAGTTAAAGATAGCTCTCTAGACATGGTTTTGCATTTTCTAATAGACTTATTTGTGGGTTTTTTTTTTGGTAGATGCAAACCATACGACACTCTGAACAGACACTGAAAACAGCGCTCATTTCAAAGACCCCAGCACTTGTGTCTCAGTATGAGAATTTCAACGCGGGGGAACGGCGCCTGATGAACGAAGCCTTTCAGCCAAACAGCGCTCTCTTTGGACCCATTACCTTGCATTCAGAATCAGATTGGATTACCTCCCACCCCGAGGCCCCCCAAGACTTTGAACAATTTTTCAGTGATCCTAAAAGGAAGACCCCATCTCCAGAAAAATGCAATATCTATATACAGTCTATTGGTACATATTGATAATATATTCATTTTGGAGTCCTGGTCTGGCGCTGTAGGATAGGCACTGACTGAAAGGTCGGTTTGAATTGCAAGGCCAGTGGTTCAAACTCACCAGTCACTCCTCAGAAGCCCTATCCAGGGTTGCTATGAGTTGGAATCGACGCAACAACACTCAACAACAACAACAATGTATTCATTTTGGTTTGGTTTTGCAATGATGCTGTTGTTGGGGAGAGTTTGGGCAGCAGTTGGTCTGGTTTAAGTGGGCGTTTGTTTTGGTCTTACGTGATTACGCTGTGTGGTAATTTTTGATATTGGTTACAACAATAGGTGCTTTGTAGCTAACCCTCTGCCACTGAGTCAAATCCAAGTCAGAGCGACCCTATAGATACAGGAGAACTGCTTCTTAGGGTTTCTCAGACTGGAACTCTTTATGGGAGTAGGCACTCTTGTATGGCGAGTGGGTTTGAGCCACCAACCTTGCAGTTAGCAGCCCAATGTTTAACCTACTTTGCTACCAGGGTGCCCTTTTTGTAGTTGAACTAACTGTAAAGAGGATGTTTTGTTTGTCTGTAGTTCATATTAACATTGATGAATTTTACTGATTGATCCTATGATAAGGGTATATTGAAAAATCATGGTTGTTAAGTGCCGTCAAGTTGGTTCCTACTTGTAGTGACCCTGTAATTTATAGACTGGGGTTCAAAGACCGAATATTTTCATCCTCTTAAATTGTGTTTTAAATTTTTCTTGGCCGTTATAGGATCTCTAGGGAACACCAGGATAATTAGCGATGAGTATATTAAATGGCTGAAGGGCTACTGCGAAGCCTTTTTCTATGGCTTGACCGTCAAACTCTTGGAGCCTGTTCCTGTTTCTGCAACCAGGTGTTCCTTCAGAGTCAATGAGAGCACACAGAATCTTCAGATTCACGCAGGTGAGGGGGTAAAGGAAACACATGTAGAGATAAATATGCAAATGATATGTATGTTAACATGCACTGCTTTTTAAACAGGGGACATCCTGAAATTCTTAAAAAGGAAGAAACCAGCAAATGCCTTCTGTGTTGTGGGAATAACAATGATCGATCTTTACCCACGAGATTCCTGGAATTTTGTCTTTGGACAAGCCTCTTTGACAGAAGGTATTTTTTTAAAGTACTGTCTTACTGTGTTTTTTGGTAAAAGTTTATATAGCACATTTTGTTGTTGTTAAGTGCTGTTGAATTGGTTCCGACTTACAGTAACCCGACCCTGTGTAGGGCTTCTGAGGAGTGGCTGGTGGGTTTGAACTGCCGGCCCTGTGGTCCCATGCTGAGCCTACAGCACCACACCAGGACATGCCCAATGTTTGCCATGCAGGGTTCCTAATCAGACCGTTTGCCTCTTCTCCATGTCTCTTCTCCCCACTTTTCTTTTTCTGCTCTGCTTTCTCTACTCTCATTCCTCGATGTTTAGGGCCAGCTCAAAGGGGAAAAGACCAGTGAACTGGGGATTGTCCAGTGACCTTCTGAGGAGCCCTGGTGGCTGCCAACAGACAGGTCTGGGGCTTAACCCACTCGGCAGCTCCATGGGAGGAAAGATATAGCGATTTGTTCTTTTCTCGTTAAGATGACAGTCTGTGGGGCAAACAGGGCCACTGTGAGCTGGCACACAACGGCAGGCTCCAGGAAGGGACTGAGAGTTAGGATATCTCAGGGTGTGGCTTAGCCGCTGAAGGAGCTGGGGAGTCCTGGAGCCTCTTCCCACTGACTCCTCCATCGTGGATTCTCCATCTCTAGGTGGTCTGTAGAGACCTTGTCCGCACACGCTCTCGGAGATGGGGGTCCTTGTTGTCTTCCTAAAGTCTGTGGTGTGAGCCAGTTTTTAGCCGAAGCTTTCCCCTTTTTAAACTTTTTATTGTGAAATGAGTGAAGGTTTACAGACAAGACCATCAGTTTCCCATTCAACAAACCACACACTTTGTTTCATCTCGGTGATTGCAATCCCCTCCCTGCAACAACAGTTAGCCAGCTTAGCTTCCTCCCTGGGCTTCCTACTTCCGTTCTACTCTCCTTCCCATCCCTTCTCAACTTTGTCCTTAGGAAACTCTGCCCTTTTCATTTTGAAGGATTGACCATCCCATGGTGAGCATACCTTGCCAGTGTTGTTCCCACTGTATCTACTGCTTGGCTGAAAATTGGGCCATGAAAGTGAGTTCCTTTCCAGACCTGAAGGGTGAACGAAGGCTATAGTTTCACGTTCCTCCAGTCTCTTTCTGACCAGTAAGCTTGGTCTGTTTTTTAATGAATAATTTTGCATTTCGTTTCACATTTCTCTCCCACTCTATCCAGGACCTTCTAATGTGGTCCCTTTCGGAGCCGTCGATAGTGGTAGCTGGGCACCGTCTAGTTCTTCTGGTCTCAGAGTCATGGAGACTGATGTCCACATGTTTCATTAGTCCATTGGACTCATTGGCTTTTCAGTTCTCATCACTCTTCTTTTTTCTGCACATGGAGAGACCACTAGCTAGCTGCATGGCTACTCATGACCTTTTAAGATCCCAGACACTACTCACCAGAATAGGATGTAGAACATTGACTTTGTGGACTGTGTGATGTTAGTTGATCATGGTGTCCCCTGAGACTGTGGGCCTGAACCCCAGACCCAGCAGCTCATGCCTTAAGATATGTCATAATATCTAAGAAGATTTCATCATTTTGCCTGCTGAATGCGCCACCACGTTCATAGTCGTGTTTGCAAGAAATACCTAAATACCCATATACAGATTCCCGTTTCTAACTCCTCTACACTTGTGGGTATGTCCCCACCCTTCCTCCCATACCCATGCACACTGTGTCTCTCTGTCCATGTACCTCCCCACAGAGCACTGTTGTTCCAAGGCTGTGTATAGCTCACTGTTTGGCTGTGGTGGCATACTGGTTACAAGTCAGCTTGCTAACCTCAAGATCGGCAGTTCGAAACTACCAGCCATTCCATGGGAAAAAGATGAGGCTTTCTGCTCCCGTAAAGATTTACAGCCTCAGAAACCCTGTCCAGAGTCGCTATGAGTCAGAACCGAATCCACGGTGTATCACCACCATCACCTTTTAGCATTTGTATACCTCCCTCCACCCCCATTTTTAAAATTTACCTGGTAGAGATGGAAACAAACGCTTTCTTCATTGATCCAGATATTTTAAAATGTCTCATGAATTTGAATGTATCAGGGAACTTTACCTAGGATATTTTCTGTTTTCACCCTTCTCCCTGCCCCCACTCCCTTTTAAAATGGTGGTGGTGGTGGTCTGCCGTGGAGTCGGTTCTGACTCATAGTGAACTCTGCGCAGGGTTTCTGAGGCTGTTAATCTTTATGGGAGCAGAAAGCCTCATCTTTCTCCTGTGGAACTGCTAGTAGTTTTGAACTGTTGACCATAAGGTTAGTAGCCCGACTCGTAACCACTACACTACCAGAGTATGTGCCCTAAATACTGGAGTCCTGGTGTAGTGCTGTAGGACACGTACTCTACTGCTGACCACCAAGTTGATAGTTGAAACCCACCAGGCTGCTTCCTGGAAACCCTCCACACGGTTATGAGTTGGAACAAACTCAACAACACAACAATAATGGCGAAGGTGCATGTCCTGAAAGAGATGCTGTAAGATAGAGGATTGCCTTGCCATGCAACAAGACAGAGTCTTAGCGGATGTCACCTGCTCTTCCCCATGTTGATACAGGTTGGCATTTTCAAATGGAGGAAGATTTGTTTTAAAAGAAACCAGTCTTCTATTTGTAGGTGAGTCGTTGTTAAGCACTGTCACGTGGGTTCTAACTCACAGCAACCCTGTGGAGGGTTTCCAAGGAGTTGCCTGGTGCATTTGAACCGCCAACCTGGTGGTTAGTGCCACACTGATGACCATCATCTTACCCAAAGTCTTTGGGGTGGAATATGTCCAGTCTTGTTTGGCCAGAGGTGGTCCCTTGCGGGAGGTTGTGTTGATTCTTAACTGCCAGAGTGTCGCCTTTTCCTCAGTTCCAAATTGTTTCTGGTATCAATCGACACTTTCCAAGGGAGGGCTGAGAAACCTTTTTTGGGGGTCACATTGTCTTGGACACACTTAGACTCTGAGTTCAATTGTGTACAATATTCTTACCACCCCTCCCCTGCAATTGCTTTAATTACTTTTGACTGACAACTGCAGGCACGGCTGGATAAATGTGGTTGTATCAGCAGGCAGAGTTATAAAGCAGCCTCTTACGTTGTAGAGTGAGGTGTGCATCAAATTGTGTTCCTCTCATATGCAAAGACGTTCCTCTAGATGTAACCGGCACATGAAGTCTGTGACTGGAGTGTCTATTCTGGTCACTAGATACAGCTAAGCAACAGAGTTGTAGTTCAAAGTGGGGTGGGGGCAGGGAGAGGGGAATAGGTTTCAGTGTCTGAAGGGCTCTGAAACTAGCACAGAAGCAGCTCTTGTAAACTCGGCCATGTCCTCCTCCCCAGGTGTCTCCTTCCTG